ACAAATACGGTGGTGGCAAACTAATCCTAGTTCAATACATTTTCTGAAAAAGTTCCTCAACATCAACTACAAACAGATAGCAGTCGGTGGTAGTTTGGATTATGCAAAACAGAAACTAAGCCTAAATCATTAAAATTAATTATATCGTTTCCAACAACGTTCCAAGTGTATTTTCCCATGGCTTTCCTAAATGACAATAAAAATGTGTTTGTGTTCCTACCAAGGAGCTCATCTTGGGGGTAGGCACCAGGCTGAGACTGCCGTATGTCCACTGATGTCCATTCTCCCTCTGCCCGAGAGTTACGCTGACTTCTCTTTCATTGTACTGGACATGTGGCCTCCTGCCTGGGATAATGTTTCCCAGCCTGTGTGACTAAGTACTGGCTAATGATCTGTTGGCAGAAGGGATGAGTCAACTGCTGGGAAGTGTTCTTAAATGGATTAACTGTCCTTATCAGTTCTTATTTCCTGCTGGTTGGAAAGTAACACAAGGGAAGGTTTCCCAACAGCCATCTTGTCCCATGAAGTGACCTTGGGAATGAAGAGCATCGGAGGCAGAGGGACAAGGTATGAGAAGCCTGGCACTGTCCTATCAGCGCGGACTGTCCTGTGTGACAGCAAGAATCTCTGTTCTTATTTAAACCACTGTGCTTGGGGGTTCCTTTCACTCCCCTCTGAACCTAATGCTACTGGCAGGAAGAGTTAGGAAAATCCGTCTTGAATTTAAAACCAACTGTGGGCTAGGTAATTCAAACTGTATGATCCATACATGGATAACAACGGTTGGCCATGTTGTATTGGGGCTTTAATATAGTAAAGAGTTCCAGAGTCCTTCTGTTCAGAAGAGAGAGACATCTAGGTCCTGCTTCTTGTCTTCCATGTAGCTGAGGTGCATGATTCAAGAGTCCGCATGACCTTCCCATTTTCTCCCGAAGAAGCTCAGCCGCAGACACCTGGTGGCAGCCCAGGCCTTCCTCCTGCTGGGTGCAGAGGCTGCTGCACTTGCTGCCATCCCTGGAATCAGCGTATGGACTCCTGACAGTGACAGCTGCCTGTCACATGCCTCTTGAACCCCTTCTGCCTCCACCAGACTCCAGACTGGGCACATTGCTACCAAGGATGAGATGCTTTGTGGTTGGATGACAGAAGGTTACAGGAACAGAGTCTGTGTGTTACAGAGGTAGAACGGCCATGGTACCTGGTGATCCAAACCACCTCTATTGGGCTCAACACAGCTTCAGCCTTCAGGCAGGTCATTTCTCCAAAGAAGGCTTATACGGCAGATAACGATTCCTCCCGACATGCTTCTTATGCTGTTCATCATCTTCCTTCTTTACCTTCTACTTGCTCAAACCACCGATCTGAATGTCTGAAACTTTAGCTTCCAAGAGTTCCTCTTAGATAGAGGTAAAACTTTTCTTGAGTTCTTGTTACAATGCAAATATGTGACATGAAAAGGTACCTGTTTAATCCATTACTCCACGGACACGAGTTAGTTTACCAGATTAGCTAGCTAACGCCTAGGGGACGATAAGATAACAAAATAACACACCCCAAGAAAATGAAAATAAACTGGTGTATAGTCTGTTAAGTAAGTGAAAGGTGGTTCTTACTGAGCACCTATTACCCTCCTGCACAACACATGAGCCGCTGGCTAAGGCCACTGAAGGAAGAAAGGAGGACACCAGAAAGATCATCCCTTCGGGGTGATTCCTGGGGTAAGAAGGGAGCACCAACTTTGCATACTGGCCAAAGGACATGGGACCCTCGGGGCTGGACCGTGTCCTTCGTCATGGTCTCCTCTGGTGGTAGAAACCACAAGGGTGCCCTAAGAAGAAAGTAGCAGTACACCCAGCCAGTGGGGAACAGTAAACAGATTTCATTCAGCCATGGGACACTGGAACATCTGCCTACTGGGCTCTTGGACAGGTTGCTTTTTGTAACTTTTTTAGGTTTAGGAAAAATAACACGTATCCTCTACTTCATGAGACTACCTGCACACTTGTTTTGTTTTGTTTGGACATCTCTCAATTCAGCTTGGCATCTTCCTCATACTCCTCAGAAGACATCTTTTCCTCTTTATAGGGATTTCAAAACCCTTTGTCTTCACTTAGGGGATTATTCTTAATGCTATCACTGGCTGATGTTTTTAATGAGACGTTATTTGAATTCCTACGGATCATTTAGTCCTATTTATAATTAGTATAACATATAGGTGAATCTGTTATAATAGTGAACTAATAAGAAAGAAGAATTAGAAATATGGTAGTTGTGATCATTGGTGTTAATACTTCTATTAGACTGGGCTAGTCAATTGCTTGTTGCTTATTAACATGGAATTCTTGACATTTACTAGGGCAATTTTTAAAAATCTCATTGTAGTATTTTACTTAACTCATGAATCTTGAATTTCAATGTATATTAGGTTTAATTAACACTAACTGGTTTTGTAATCAACTAATACGATTTTGATTAAACTCTCATGATTATTCTTTAATGATGGAAATGTAAACATTCAGATTCACAAATTTCCTGATTGTTCTTCTTTGTCAAAGACATTAACTGATACTTGGTTAGAAGAAGAACATATTTAGATTTGCTTAGTTGCTATGATTGGAAATATTCCTTGGTTATAACATATTGTGAGGACATGTGGCAACACAGTCTAGAGAAAACGAGGAACACTGGGATTATCAGAGTGCTAAAGAGTATATTCTCAGTCCTTCTTATGGAATAAAGTTAAGTACCACTTGACATGTTGAGTCTCATTCCACCTTGAAATGGGAGGACTTTTTAAAAGATCCACAGTGATATTATTGATTAGTTAACCCAGGAAACATTCTCAATACTGTTCTTCCTACTACCTCATGCCACAGAGGCTAGAAAGCAACATGCTTTCCCACCATCCTTTGCAGCTACGATTGGCCGTATGATCCAGTTCTCACCAGTGACATGTAAGGTGGAGTCTATAGGGGAGATTCTGGAGGAGTTTTTACTCTTCCGTTTACTTTGTGCCATGAAGGTGGAGGGGATGCCTGGATTAGAAGTCCGTCTGCAGTCAGAGGCCATGAGCATGAGGACAGAAAGCCCAGGGCTTTCGGGAACATTGTTAGGCAGCTATATGTCTTCTGTTGCCTCCCTCCACGCTTCTAATTAAACAAGATGACTTTATTGCCATAATAATAGTTAGTTCATTTTGTTGTTCTGCCATCAGCAGCTCATTCACATAGTTCTCCACGGGTTTGAGATGTGTCTGCACGTATGTGAAGACCAAGCCAGACTTCCATCTGAAAATGCTTGAAATTTCCCTCCATGAGAGAAATCTACAGCAGCCCTTTCCAAAAGCACTTCACGCGATGATGGAAGTGTTCACATAAACAACGTGGAATATGTGGCCATTGAACATTGAAAGGTGGCTGGTGCAATTAAACAAATAACGCTTTGATTTTTATGTAGTTTTAATTAATTTAAATGGAAACCCAAATAGTTACACGTAGCTCCCGGCTATCAGGTTGAACAGCACAGATCAAAAGAATGGCTAGTGTACTAGAAAAACAACAACTGAGATTACTGTAGTTTTCTTGGAGGAAATTCAGCCTTCAAGTTTATGTATGTTGTCTTACAGGCCCAAGAACACCTCATTACAGAAAAAGGATGACTCAGTGGGGGCTTCACACTGCGTCGTGTTTGAAGGCTGTTAAACAACATTTAACTTGCTTATTAGCTAACTATGCAGAACTGATACCAATTTAAGCATTTTACATTGACAACTGTAATAAAGGATGTCTTTCTGGAATAATAATCTTATTGAGACTACGCTCATTCAGCTGTTTGTCAAGCCTTTGTATTCCCAATTACAAAGGAAAAGAATAATAATGGTGTGCCAGTCTCATTAAGCTGTGGGGGCATAATAACTCTCTGAGATAAACTGTAAATTACGGTTTGCAGAAGACTGCTCGTTATACCAGGAAATCAGCCACAAAGCATGGGGCTAAGGGCAGTGAGAGGCTGGGAGTTGGCAGCTGAAGGTCCTCCCATGAAAAGGCAGGAGCAGTGGTCACTGATCACACCAGGGACCGGAACGCCATGGGCTGTCGTGCCCCAGAGCAGGGGTTCAAGACTATCTACTGCACCCGAATGGGATGTAAAGAAATGATGCATTGTGCCCTGGTGTCTAACATAAAGCTAAACACTCAGCATGTTTACATCACGGCCTTTTTTAGAGCCTGAGGAACAACTAATTCTGCAAGTGCGCGAGGTGGCCCAGAACTGTTCATTATCTCGTCTTCCATCTCCTGGCAAGGATCTCGGTCACAGACAGCTTCTCCATCACCAGTCACTTCCCGCCACCAAAAACAGGTCAGCAAAGTCCCTTTGGTTGGCAACCTGAGCTCCTTCAAGCTAGGGCTATGCATAATTTTAAGAAATACCTGACAAGCCAAAACTTACTTCAGAGACAGGACCATCTATAAACAGAGTGCTAACAGAAATAATAAGGAAAAGGAGATGAAGACTTTTGGCAAGCCATGTATGCTTCATCTCTTTGGTTCTTTGGTGTAAAACTTATCTAATTAAAAAACCATTCAATTTAAGAAAGCCACCACCCCAACCCACATTTCTAACAAATAGTTGTAGAAGGTGCTTCTTGAGACAATTACTAGAGAAAATGGATTAATTCAAAGTTTATTTTCTCCTCTGAGAACTATTAATTATTCTCAGTTTTATTTTCATGTTATATTAACAAGTAATCATTTCTCATCAGTTTGCTTTGCAATTCCTTTGCAAACGCCCATGTTTTCCTCATAGATTCTGGTTTGACCCATTTATTTTATGGTAGCTTCCATGTCTAAGAAGATACAGGTAACCGCATGTGAGAAGTTAAGACCCAGTCTTGATAGTGCGAGGCAAAGGAAATGGTCTGTAGGAACATATCATGTTTGAGAGAAGGTCTCCTGCAGAAAATATCTCAGCTAAAGACATATCAAGACATGAATTCTTACCTATGATGTGGCTCTGGAATGCAGCATCCACGACTGGATCTTCTTCATCCCCTTGCAGGTTGTCCGTTGCCTCTTTTATCTGCAGCAACAAAAATTACTGTAAGTTCTTATTCATTACTTTAAATAGGTCTTTTGCCATCCTCAGAATAATGGTAGATTTTATAGTGTGTGTGTGTATTTTCATCCTTCTACCTTTCCCCATTCTATCACTTGGCTTTATTACAAGTTGTAATTATAAGAACATATTTTCCAAAATATAACCACAGCTCTGCAAATGGGATTTATAGGGCACCTAATTCTACAAAAGATTTTGGAGATAATAGCTTTGGTTTTTAATACTTAATAAAGTCAGAAACACAGAGCTGTAAGGAAAAATTAAAGTCTAAGGAAAAATAATTCCTCCAGAGTCGGTGATTTCCACTGCAAATTTTAAAAGAGTAAAGAAATATACTTAGATAACTTGACCCTTTCCTAGACTATGCCTCTCTAAGAAAATTATATATAGTTCTCTCTACAATGAAACATGAAGTGACTATGATGTGTGCTTTACTGAACTAGAGCAGTGACACATTTATCTAGAGTTTCCAAGTCAAAAACACTTCCCTTGTGTTTCAGCTGGAATATCCGGGTGCTGAATGGCAATCAAATAGAACTCCCGAGAGCGTCTAATAATGTTACAGTATTTTACAAACGAGAATTCTGAAATCCAACACATTTTCTTGAACCTATTTTAAGTGGCAGCACTAGAACTAAAACCCAGGCCAGGTACTTCCCCGTCTAGCGGCACCAATAATGATAATACCATCAACAATACCAGGGATAAAAACAGTAAACTATTGAACACAATGTAGCAGTTGCTGTTTAAATTCTTCATGCCAAGATCTTAGTCCTCTGGATAGGACTAGGAGGCAGGTGCTATTGTTAGTTCCATTTTAGAGATAAGGACCCTGGCGAAACAGACAAGATGAGTAATTATACAAGTGATGGGACTGAGATTCAATGGCTTGAGATTTGTGTTTATTTGGGGGGGACTGTGTCATTCTCAAATTTCTGTTTGAGTAGGACAGTGTAGACTTGGCCTCAATATCAAGACAGCTTGTGGTCCTTGCAGAATGACCCTAAATAGCTTTTTAAACACACATCCCAGCCAGTCACCTGGGAAGCCAACAATGATAAGGTGAACTGTGCAATGAGTGCAAAGGGGTTCTGCTTAGGTACATACATTAGAGGCTGTCGGTGGGTTTGCTCAGGGGCTTGAGTTGAATTCCAAGAATCTCTTACTTTTATATTTGTGATGTAGAAAGTCATATGGTTGCCTATTGACCTTGAACTGAATTTAGCTTTCTACTTTTCACCTCCTATTTTCATATTGAACGGAATAAGAATAATTATTTACATTTTATGACTGCAGTTTTGGCATTAGAATGTAATTGGTGGTGAATCTGTACATGCTGATAGCCAGAAGGCAAACGCAAGAGAGGATGTGGATGGCTACCTGAGCCACACAAGCACAGGTGTGAAGGGCCGAATGTCCAGAGACCATTTCATCACTTTCTTTCCTGTCACTGTTCCTGTTTGTTAGCATCTCCAGAGGAAGAAAGTTAGGGGATGGGGGTAACAGGCTTCCTCAGCAAGCTGCTTCTCGTGGTGCACATTTGTGGATGGCAGAGAGGGAAGTGCTATGAGCATGAGAGAGGCTAACATGCTACTTATTTGCCTTGCAAGGTTCACCGAGCTCAGTGATCTGTGACAAAGCTACTGAAAGACCCACTGGGGAAGGGGTTCCCCAAACACTTTAACTTCCATGGACAGGCCAACAAGGACTCTCTGTCTTCATTTGCAGAAACAACAAGGAAACCTGTTTATATTTTCAGCCCACACCAGCTCTTATGGCAGTACATTTCATATTTTCTTCCACCTGTTATGTTAAATAGCATTTCTTTTAGGTTTCTCTGAATGGACCCATTTTTTATTTCAATATTATTTTGTTGTTGTTGTTAATCCTCACCTAGGGATATTTTCCATGGATTTTTAGGTAGAGTGGAAGAGAGGGAAGAAGAGGGAGAGGGAGAGGGAGAGACAGAAACGTCAATGTGAGACACATTGACTGACTGCCTCCCACAGGAACCTGACTGGGGCCAGGGATTGAACCTGCAACCCAGGTACATGCTCTTGACCAGGAATCAAACCTGTGACCTTTTGGTCCACAGGCTGATGTTCTAACTGCTGAGCCAAACCGGTCAGGGCCTAAATGGACCCATTTTAAACTTAAAGGGGTGCCTTGCTAATGACCTGCTGGAATGTGGGTAAATCATCTCCATCCGCCTATACAATTCTAAACTAAAGAATCTAATAATTAGAACAAGATCTTAATTTTGCAGATTAAAAAAAGAGACTCAGAGCGGATTAATGATCTGTTCAGGGCACACAGGATTTCAGTTTCAGAGTAGGCACTCCTTATCCCGATTCATTGCTGTGATTTATTTTTTAAGAGCACACCATATTGTTATAGTCATCCTTTCCAGACCTTCCCAGGAACTACTGTGTTTTTCTCAGTGTCTGGCAGTTAAATATGCAGGCAGTATTCTGAGGGTACATAAGCCACACTTTTATTTAAGAGCGACAAAATGTTTCACTGTGTGTGTGTGTGTGTGTGTGTGTGTGTGTGTGTGTAACTGTCCTGCTTCCCGTCCCTACTCAGCTTTCCGTGGGGCTCACCCGTCATCTTTCTCCAAGTATCGTATCTGAGAAAGAAGACAAAAGCCACCGGGCAGTCCTACCTGTCAGCTCCTTGTCAGAACCTCGCTAGGACTTTATACCCTTAACAGCAAAAGCGAATGTGGTGTCTGGGAAGGTATCAGAGGAACTGGGCTTGTAGACAAGGCTCCTCACCCTCTCAGCTCTCCTGGGTAATGACCCACGAGAAGCAGGTGCCCCCTGCGAGGGAATTTTGAATCTGAAGGAGTCGGATGAAGAATCAGCAAAGGATGTGAAATGGGGGAATGTCTTAGAATGGCACACCTGTGGACTCTGTACAGATTCCCCTGCAAAGTGGTCACTTTAAAATATCCTTCTGCCAATGGCTATGAGGGGCATAATCTCTGTGGGCAGCAGACTCCCCTTGCTAGCTATGTTTTTCACAGGCAGAAATGAACATTACTTTTCATTCACGATCACACAGCGCTTGAGTGTTGATGAGAGGTTGTGGGAAGCTTCCTGGAGCTCAGGGGCTGCCCACTCAAGGTGAAAAATTTGCCAGGACAGACACAGGGTAACAGCTTCACATGGCAAGAATTGTGACCTGGAATGGTCACAAAGCCAAGGTGTTTGGCTCAGAAAGGAATGGTGGTTAGTTATTTAGAAAACTATTCAGGAGGAGGGCAAATACGTATGCTTCTTATTAGCATCAAAATCACATTTAGAACAGAATTGTTCAATTAAGAATGTTGAAATCTTGACATTTTGCAGAATTTGATAAGATAATAATTTGTGTAATAATTGTACTATTTTGTGCTATTTTATCACCAGCGGACCATTTCAATGGGATAAAATTTGATGCTTTTCTTATTAGCATATGTTATTTTTTTTTTCAGATTTTATGTGACAGTAAGTGAAGAGAATACTCATAATTTAAATTAAAATATCCGTATTAACATGGCCATCTCTTTTCACTGCATAATGGAGGTATTTGATTGTGTTAATTTTGTTAAGATTTTTGTTTTGTTAAGTGACAGCTAGGAGGCTGGCGCTCTCTTTCCTTGAGACTTCTCACGTCAGAAAATTATCTAAATCCACAGGAAGGAAGGACCTACAACAGGTAGCAAGCAGCGTGCAATTGTTTCTGACTTACTTAATACCAGCGCAATCTTTCCTGGGGATGTCTTTCCCCCTCTTATAATGGTTTTACATAAACTAAATAAAAGTACAAAGTAACATGACCTTTGTCTAAATTACACAAAAATTAGAGCTAAGTGGTCTTGGCTCTAATGGCATCGATGGGGACATATGCCTGTAATTAAGGTTTTGAAAAGAGGAAAAAATCTAATTCAGCAAAGCATTAATGGGAGTTCCAAACGTTAAAATGTATCTAGCAATCCTGAAAATGAACATTCGTTACTAGTGGACTATGGAGGTCCGCCACACACATGGGTTGTTGCATGTATGGAAATAATCCTTCTACTATTATCACTGTAGATTAAAATAATTATAATGCCTTAGGACCCTCATAACTAAACATAGTCTTAGTGTGTAAAAGGCAAGGGCTGGTGGTATAATGTTTCAAGGTTTTTAAACATTGGTTTTATTCAGGGAAAAAAAGTGTGATGTGTCATGCATTATGTGCAGCTATTGTTTCCATCCAAAATGACTTCTATGAGAAGAAATCTTTGCAATACACTTTAAAATAAGCAGAAAGCAAATTTACCTTGAGCCCTAGTGGGGGAAAATTCCCTTAAACTCTGAATTTTAAAAGGTTCATGGGTATTCACATCAATGCGCTATGGTATTAGAATACATCTTATTTTGCATCTAATCTCCTTCCTATATAGGCTGATAACATATAATAGGCTTTCACTGCTATTCTTGTACCAGTCCCAAAGGAGACTATGGCAATGTCTTTTCTGAAATTAGTAATTTTAGCCCAAACCACATTGATGATTATGGAGATGAAATGAAAAACATTGCATTTTACATTTAAAAAATGACTAGCTGGTCCACTATCCAGGTTAATAATATTCCTCTGTATGGGAAGGCTTCCTAGCATGACTAATTTCATCTTGCTGTTAATGAGAAAAATTAGTAAACCCCTATTGATTATGTCTATTTGGGGTGGTTAGGGTATCTTTGTACTTCACAGACAATAATAAGACTGCTTCTTGCAGATAATCTGGAATGACCAAAGGATATTTATTACTATATTGTGAAAGACAGCAGATGAGAGTATGGCAAAGGAGGCACTGAGAAAAAAATAATAAAACTGTGAGCAAAACAGAGGGTTTCTTTGTTTTTTCTAGGGACTTCTGTACAGTGAAGATGTACCCTCTGCTGTCAGAACCACACTGAATGGGGCACAGTTAAACTGAGTGTGTCTGATAAGGGCTCTGCCAGGCTATCAAAGTTCTCCATCAGCGGGATTGAATTTCTGGCATATTGCACATTTCCACACATTCATTCTCTCTCTTTCCTTCCAGTGACACTACAAGGGCAGCCTTAGGTATGCTTATAATTTGTGGTTTTATAATGCAGGAGACATCGACATTTTCAAAGAAATGATACCAAAAGAAGCAAAGAGTAAAAATGGAGAAAAACAGAAAATAAAACAAAAAACCCTTTTGCAAAAACATAGTCTGCATATGATTCCAGGGTCTTCCTTTCTTTCTTTTTTTAAGGCCTTCTATCTCTTTAGAGTCAGAACTATTTGAAATAAAATCTCAACGTACGTTTGTCTCAAATTACAATATGTCTGTATAATACTCAGAAACCCTGAACATCAATAAGTCATTAAGCTAATAATTAATAGCTAATAACTAATAATGCCAATCATGGTTACTTCTGAAACCTCATCTATATTTAACTATTCTAGAAAAATGTGTATAATTACTTCATATTTCACTTTTTCCCCTAAGAAAATGAGAGCACGCATTATATTTTACAATCTCTTTTATAAGAGTATAAAAATGTATGGACACAGTCAGTAACTCCATGAAGAATTTTTTTAGTTTAAGTGCTTTAACACTTACAGAAAGAAGCTGTGACATCACCGAATCAATCATGCAAGAACAAAACGAATATAAGGGGAGTAAGTGCAGCTTACGGTAATTTTGAAACAAAAATATTATTTGAACCTAGCATGCCCTGGGGGAATATAAAAATGCCCTTTCATTCATTTTTAAAAGAAAACTTCCCCTTTTGTTCTGGACCTGTCAATTTAAAAAACTAAATGCTAGGGAGTCAAGTTCCAGAAAGAATTTTTTAGTTTTAACACCTTCTATTAGGGTTAGGGTGAACTGGTACACACAACTTCCAGAAAACTAAAAAAATATATATGCTTAAGTCAAATCGTCAAAATAGTCGATATTCTCTTCAATAGTTTAGTGTTTTCATTTCTTTGACAATGATGTTCACTCCTTTCTGTGCTGCGGGAAATGGCGGAAACACTCACCCACACAGATTCCCACGCCCACCGCTCGTCTGCACTGTGGTCCCCGTCACTCTGCAAAGAGCTGAATGATCAGCGCCACTGGGGGCCTGGCCCCTTGGCAAGCCAGCCGCCATCTCTCAGTTACAGCTGTCCCGGACCCTTCTCTCTTTTATTCTCTTCTGCTTTCCCTTTCTCTTTACCGCGTAATCTCTTGCCCATATATTTTCATCAGCAAAGGGGAGAGGAACCCAAACCAGCCTGTCATAGGACCTAACAGTTCAGAGCCAGGGTGGTGGAGAACTTACCAGGGAGCCTTTCGGTATTTCCACATCGGCTTTGGTTTTGACGTTTTTCTTGTGGTTTCCTTGAGCACTGATAGAGCTGCCGGTGAGACAGGAGCCCTGGGAGCTGCCCTTTAACACGCTCCTGCAGGAAACATTATTTGATCCACTTTCTGTCTGTTGAGCTGCTCTTTTATCAACTCTGCAGGTAGAAAGTGATTCCTCTGATAAATTACATCGCTCTTCTTCAATCAGTCCACTCTTTCCAGTCCTTTAATGTTTAAAGTAACCTTCACAGACCTCATTGTCTTTAACCCTTTGAGTGATACTGCCTCTCAATGGCCTTGATCAAATCTTTACCTGATATTCCAGCAGTGTGTCATTTTAGATTTGATAATATAACACTTTATTTTTATGACTGCTTGTGAGATTGGGGGGATAAAAACCACTGAAAAGTGATGGCAACTACATTTGTGGCTTAAGGTCGGCAGGAAAAGTAATTTCCTCTGGAAGTTTCTAAGTATACGTTTGCTCGGTCCAATCAGTGAGATTGGCATACTCTACGATGTACATTTAATTTGCTTCCATTTCATGCCATGTGGGTGCATTCATGGTTGCTAGCTTAGGCTGAATTTTTTTCAACCTTGATAAAACTTACCATTCTTTAATTTCAAAGACCATTGGTTTGGTTAACAAAGTAACATGAACTAAATTATCCTTTTATTGCTAACTTTTATTTCATTGTTTAAATTCTGGCTAATGTATCAAAGACTGCTATGATGTGTTCCTGCTGGCATGAAAAACATGCCTGGCTGGCATTTAATGTTCATTAAGCAAACAACTCTCCTCGTGGGTGGGGGCTCCCCTGGACATCACCACCCTCTTCGCCCAGGCATTACCTGTTCAAAAGTTCTGTCATAAAGGTGTCTTTTGTTGGACATGTAACAGGACTGGGTCTATTTCTCGGCTCAAACTTCGTTTGGTTGTAAATGTCTGGCGGTGTTTTCCGATTACTCTTGCTTTGGAAACCACCGTCTGGATGATCTGCCAGCTCCGCGTCCCTGTGAAGCTCACTCTCCACCTCACACTGCGGCTCCGGCTTCTTTTTCTCTTTCTTCCTCTCTGATTTTAGCTGCTTATTTCCAAAGCCCAAGCCTTTGGCGTCTTTCTTTTCCACTTTGGTTTTGGGGCCCTCCGTTTTCCGGCTACTGAGAGCGGGCAGCCTGCTCCTCCGAAAGCCAAACCAGCTGGCGAAGGAAGGCCCGGGCCGCGGCCTCGCCTCCACAGACGGGGGCTTTGTCTGCCCCTGGCCCTTCTCCACGTTCTCCTGAATGCACAACATGACCTTTTCTTCGATGGTGGGCGAGAGGGGGGCTTCTGGGCTCCCAGCATTAGTCCTGGTTATCGAAGTATCTGGATACCTTCCAGAAGTTTCTAGCTTGGCAGTCCTGCTGGTTTCAAAACTGCTTAGGCACTGTGTCCTCCCGGGGCTCTGCGGGACCCGTGGGCAGTCCGCCGGGGGGGGCGGGCACCTGCAGTGGTCACTGCCTGGTTCCCGCAGGGCAGCCCCACCGGGGCAGCCGCCCTGGCCGCAGTCCTGCGGGTCTCTCGGCCCAGGTGGGGTGAGGAGGCCTTCGGCTTTGGGAAGGATCCGCAGAGGCAACTTGCTAGGGCTTCCATGCTGGCTGCCGGAGCTGCCTGAGCTCCCCAGGGAGCCCTGCCTGGAGGGGGCCTGCCCCAGGAGCCCAGCACTGGGGAGGCTGTCGGGCGCGGGGGCCGGGGGCGTCTTGCTGGGAGAGGCGTCCGCGGAGGAGCCCTGCCGGGTGAGAGAGTTGCCTCTCTCAGCAGTGTTGGTAATAATCTGAGTTCGGACTCTGCCAGGCCCTTCCATGGGGGGCGTGTCGCCTGAGTGGGCACTGAAACTCTGGCTGCGGGCTTTGGCTCCGTTCATGCCCAGAGCTGGCTTCAGGTGTGGCTTGTTGGAGGAAAGAGACCTTTTCACAGACCTGTTTTCTACCCCATCTTTCCCATCAGCCCCAGGGAGGTGACTTCCCAGCGACTCTGGCGGTGCTGCCTCCAGGGGCTCACTGTCCTGCGCTTGGACACGAGGCGCAGCCCCGCGCCCCTCCCCCGCTGCGGGCTGCGGGCCGGCCGGGTTCCCGGGGTGCTCCGGCCGTTCTGCCGCTGACACGCTCGCAGCCACAGAACTTTTAGAGGCTTCATTGAGACTGTCCTTCTCGTGCTTCCCGGGCATCGTGGAACTTCTCCTGAGCGGCTGGGGTGACTCCATGAGCACTTGGAGCCCACCTGGGCGGCGAGTTTTCGAGCCTCTCTCGTGAGCGTTCTGACCGCTATGGCTTTTGGAGGAGGGTGAGGGGCTTCTAACCTGAGATGATGGTGATTCATTGACCCCTAAGAAGGAAGACATGGGTGATGTGGAGACACTGTCATTCAGTTGTCCCTTTCTTCCTGGGGACAGACTTTTGGAGGAGGATGTTTCCAGTGGCTCATGGGCTGAAGGACAATTCCTGGGACTCTGTAATCCTGTGTCTGTTTGTGTGGTCTTAAGTGTTTGATGAGGTGGGGTTCTGGGGACACCTCTCTTTGGAGAGACCTTTGGGGGGCCCGGGGCCATCATGGCAAATGAGCTGGAGGGGGCATGAACAGAGCATCTGGTCTGAATCACCGTTTCTGGGGAGGACAGAGGGTTAGTGAAGGGGGGCTTTTGGAAGGCCACCGAAGGTTCCCGCCCCAGCACTACTGTCCGACTCGAGGGAAGAACAGAAGAGAGTCCTTTCAGCGGCGGGGATTTGAACACTGTCCTGGCTGCTTCATGGGGGACCCTGGTTTCGGGCTTGGCAGATGAGGGTGGTTGCAGATAGTCATACCTGGGCCTGATGAGCAGGGAGACTGACCTGCCTGGAGGGGGAGGGGGAGAGGGTGACTTCACCCCTGCCTCTGGCCCAGGGTCACAGTATTTATCCCTTGTGAGGTGTTCTCCATCATCACCAGGCTCACTGAGGGGCCTTGGCAGCAACTGTGGGGCTGAACTCTGACCCCTGGCACATGGGACCCCACCCCTTCGCCAGGGCGTCTTGGAACCGTGTTTTGGAATGTGTGAATCTGGCGGCATGCCACACAGGTGCACTGGGCCTTGGGTCCCCCTGAACCGGGACACCTTCCCAGGAGCCAGGGCTGCTGACTTCTCCGGAGTCCCTGGGCCAGATGTGGGGCCTCTGGAGGAGGCTTCAGGCTCCATGATTTTTGATTTCTGAGGAGAAGACTTGCCCCTGGCAGGTATCTTGGTCAGACTTTGTTTCTGATAGATGCCCATGGACACCGAAGCCCTGGAGTTACTCTGGCACGACGTGCTCCGTGTGGGTTTGGCCAGCTTTTGTCTGTGAGTGTTTTGCGTTACTGTCCTGGGGCTGAAAGTTGCAGTGGGTACCTCGGCCACAGGATCTGCACCGGCCCTTAGCGGGTTTCTCTCAGTCTCCCCTTCGGGCCACTGGGCGAAGCCGTGGGATCTTGCAGCAGTTCCCTGAGGTAAGCGTGCAGTGTGTCCTGCCTGGGGGCCAGTCGGGGTCGGACTGAGGGAAATGTCATTCCTGGTGACAGTGGCAACGCCCGTCTGGTGGGAGCTGAATTCGATGGGTTCACCATCCTCCGCATCAAATACGACAGTCACACATTCTTCCGAAGACGTCCTCCTGACAACCCTGTGCTGCTTTACGAAGCTCAGTGTCTTTGGCCTCCTCGCTACGTGGGTGGGCATGTGTTTTTCCTCCTCACCGGGAGACCCCGGTTGAGATTTTCCAAGTGCCATGAGGATGTCCAGATTCTCCAGGGACCTGTCGGTGTCTGCAGTCAGTGACAGGTCTGAAGGGCTCTTCTCATCACTGCTGTCTATATGCAGCTCATCGAGGGTTTCATTGTCGTCGGTGTCTGAAAGCTGGAGACTGAGAGCCACGTGGCCCTGGCTGTGGGGGCCCCTCCCTCTCTGTACCACCGGCTCCTGCACGCGTGGGCACAGCCTCCTCTCCAAGGCACAGCTGCCTGCACAGCTGCTCAGCTTTCCAGGTCCTTCCCTGGGGTAAACTGAGGTGCCTTCTGGAAAGTGCTTCCCATTCCACTCCCAGCCGCACAGACTGTCAGAAACACTGTGGGGTAATCTACATCCATGCAGCCTGCAGGCCTGGTGTGGAAAGGCTTGGAGCAACGCCAGGGAGGAAGAGTCCCCATCGGCCTCTTCATGGGAATCTGTGTCATAAACAAATGCCCTGTGGGGCTCCTTGCAGGGGCTCCCCACCTCTGCTGCTTTGCAGGGGGCATGCTCCTTGAGGCTGCTACTCTTAATTCCTGGAGAATATATTCCTTCATTTGAGTTCATGCAGTCTTTATAGCCCCACTTGGTTATCACTGACGGGGCTTCAAGTAACACTTTTCGCTTCTGTAGCTTCCTTAGTCCTTCCAAAATGTGGCTTTCCTTGACACGCACTGGAGGTAGTTCATCTGTAGGACTAGCAAAGCCACTTGGGAGTGAGGAATCAACACTCAGCCTTTTATCCCAGTTTTGTGATGATTGCTAGGAAAGAAAAGTAGGTATCAGAAATGGTAGCATCATGTGGATCACACATTTATAACAGGAAAAGTCCATCACTGAACTTAATTTGTTCTAGTGGTTGATAAATATTCACAATAAAAGTACACATTAATTGAGCAATGCAAATTAATTCATTCATGGTGAAGCAAATCTCTACTTTGCCAGGTCCTGAGCTAAGCAGCATCTGATTTAAAGAATAAGGACCCACCCTTAAGAAGCAGGCATCCCAGCAGAGGAGAGGACTTTTGCATAAATAACTGAAAGTCAAAGGCACAAATGAGAAGTGCACATGTGGTAGGTACTTCAGAAATTCAGAGGCAAGAGACCATACGTCTGCTTGGAAAAGACCCAAAAACCACATAAGGAAAGGTGTTGTTTTTTTTTTAAACCTACCTAGGCTTTAAAAGATGGCTAGGTTTCCCTTAGCTGAAAAGTAGGGGGAAGAAAGATAGTGGTGGGCAGGACCGGAGGGAGGGTGTGTGAGAGAGTGAGCCAGTGTGTGAGAGAGTGTGAGTGGATGTGAAGGTGGACGACCACACCCGAGCAGTGCAGAGCCGTGGAGCAGAAGGTTCCTGTGCTATGGACGGAGCAGCCGGCTACCACGGTGAGCGGCTCTTCAGGGCGCTTCTCCTGGCTCCACAGGGAGGTCCCACCATTTGGGAAGATCCCGAGTCTTCCCTGGGAGGAGGCCGTGGGAGCGGCTAGGGCCCAGCAACCTGAGCCACCGGCGCACCTGGCACCATCGGACCAGTGGAAACTGTGTGTCAACACAGACCAGTGCACAGTAGCGGAGCTCCCAAGGTGCTGGTCGTGGAAGCCACGGACAGCCTGGAGCCCAGCACCATCCCCTACAGTAGCAGCCCAATCAGAGTGGAGATATACCCCCAGCAACAGAGGCTGGGGAGCAGACATCCATCCCCACGCAACAGAAGCACAGACCAGCAGCTGAGACCCATCCCCCAAAACTACAGCAAAATCTGAGCAGGAGTTGAGCCCCACCGGGCAGCAGCACTCCCCTGCCACCAGCTGTGGTACCTGGGGCTCCACAGAGGCCTGTGCTGCCCGCTTGCCGTGGCACAGAGAGGACTGTGCCACCCCACCCAGCTGGGACTGTGCGATCCAGTTATCCTCAGGACCTGCAGGGTGCTGAAGCACCAGAGAAGCCTGTGCGAACCAGCAGCCCAAAGGGACTGTACCATCCAGTTACCCACGGGACCTGCAGGGTGCGGGGGCACCAGAAAGGCCTGTGCAACCCAACTGCTCACAAGATAGGCTTAGAGGATGTGAAAATGGAGGCGGAGTGAATAGAAGCTACACAGATAATCTCCCAGGACCAAATGGGAATTACAACTAAAATAAAGATAAATTCTCAGAAAAAAGCAACAGAAAAGCAGCAGGACAGGACCATATAACCAGAGACACTGGTAGGATCTGCGGAGGTGTGAGAGGAAGGTGGGCTGGGAGCCCACGGACAGCAGCAGTCTTAGCTGTGAGCAGCGCCCTTGGGGTATAGAGACCAAGCCCACTCCACACTGCAGAGAGCCAGGACAGAGCCATAAAATAGCCACAGCCACTCACCTGGGGGCTATGACAGAGGGAGGGCAGACTGGGCTGGGACTCTGTGGGGACACCCGGGATTTGGAGGGCATTCAGAGTTTTTGCTGAGTTGCAGCCACAAAGGACGGTGGCCAGTGTGCTCATTCCCAGAGCTGTGAGGAAAAGCAGCAGCTCCCCTACCCCCCTTGGAGACTTAGCCTTTTCCAGGTGAAGCAAAAAAATGTAAATTGAGGCTCATTAACTACCAGCATCTATCCCACCCTCTGGAAATCCTCTTATGCAGAAAACCAGGGCTACATTTCGAGGCACTGAGTAACAGACTAACCACCAGGAAAAAGCTAGAGGATAACTGAACCTTTCCTGAGCTTGCAAATCTACCCAGGAAAGTAAGACTTGACAGTGGTGTTAAACGTGGGCCCAACCAGGCCCATCCAAACCCAGTAGAGAGAGCCACAAACAGCAGAACACCAACACTCACAGGGAAAATTTGGCAGGCTCCAAAACCCATTGAAATAGCCAAAATGGTGAAACAAAGAAACAAATCCCAAATGAAAGAACAAGAGAACTCTATCGAAGATGAGATCAACAAAATGCAGCTAATCAAATTATCAGAGGTACAGTTCAGAGCCATGATCTTGAAGAAGCTCAACAGCATGAGTAAGGACATCAGCACCACAAGTAAAGATATAGAAATATAGAAAGCCAACCAAGTGGAAATGAAGAATGACATAGCAGAAATTAAGAACACATTAGTAGGACTAACCAGCAGAGTAGAGGAAGCTGAGGACCGGATGGATCAGTGAATTAGAAGACAGGGTAGAAAAAAATCAACCAATCAGAAAACCAAAAGGAAAAAAAAAAATTAAAAAACTGGAAGATAAGTTAAGAGAACTGTGGGACAACTGGAAACGTAATACTGTTCATATCATAGGAGTCCCCGAAGAAGAAGAAAATGGGCAAGGGTTAGAAAATATATTTGAAGAAATAGTGACAGAAAATTTTCCTAACATGGTGAAGGAAGAAGGCATTCAAGTTCAAGAAACATAGAGAGCCCCAAGTAAGAAGAACCCAAACAGGCCCACACCCACCAAGACACATAGTAATTAAAATGCCAAAAATTAAAGACAAAGAGAGAATCTTAAAGGCAGCAAGATAAGCAACAGGTTGCCTACAAAAGAAACCCCTTAAGGCTCTCAGCTGACTTCTCAACAGAAACACTACAGGCCAGAAGGCAGTGGCATGAAGTAATCAGGGTCATGAAAAACAAGGATCTGAATCCAAGACTACTCTATCCAGCAAAGCTATCATTCAAAATAGAAAGTCAAATAAAGAGCTTCCCAGACAAAAAAAAGTCTAAGGGAATATATTAACACCAAACCAGCACTGCAAGATATGCTATAAGGACTGCTGTAATTAGTAGACGAAACAGGAAGAAAAATAGAACCATACTGAACAAAAATGGCAATAAATAAGTACATATCAGTTATCACCTGAAATGTGAATGGTTTGAATGCTCTGATAAAAAGACACAGAGTAGCTGATTGGATAAGAAAGCATGACTCACATAAGTGTTATTTACAAGAGATCCACCTCACAACAAAAGACTCACATAGGTTGAAAGTGAAAGGTTGGAAAAAAATCTTTCAAGCAAATGGAAAGCTAAAAATAGCTGGGGTAGCAATATTCATATCTGATAAAGTCAATTTCAAATGAAGGCCATAACTAGAGACAAAGAAGGCCATTACATAATATTGAAATGATCTATCCAACAGGAGGATATAACCTTGATAAACATATATGCACCCAATATAGGAGCACCAACATATATTAAAAATCTTCTGGAGGACTTCAAAGTAGAAATCAACAGCAATACAATCATAGCAGGGGGCTTCACTGGATAGATCTTCCAGACAAAAAGTTAACAAGGAAACAAAGACTCTAAATGAAGAAATAGATCAAATGGATTTCAGAGCTATCTACAGAGAATTACACCCCAAAACTGCAGAATTTACATTCTTCTCAAGTGCACATAGGACATTCTCAAAGATAGACCACATGTTAGGGCACAAACTGAGTCTCTACAAGTTCAAGAAGACTGAAATCATATCAAGCATCTTCTCAGACCACAATGGCATAAAACTAGAAATCAATTGCAACAAGAACATGCAAAGACATTTGAAAACATAGAGGCTAAACAGCATGTTATTGAACAATGAATGCGTTACCATGGAGATCAAGGAAGAGATTAAAAACTTCCTGGAAACCAATGAAAATGAACACACAATAACACAAAATCTATGGGATGCAGCAAAAGCAGTTCTGAGAGGGAAGTTCATAGCATTACAGGCCTACCTCAAAAAACAAGAAAAATTTCTAATAGACTATCTAACCTCCCAACTTAAAGAACTAGAAAGCAAACAAAAAGAAAACCCCAGAGTAAGTAGGAGGAAGGAAATAGTCAAGATCAGAGCAGAAATAAATGACATGGAGACCAAAAAAAAAAAAATTCCAAGGATCAATGAAACAAAGAGCTGGTTCTTTGAAAAGATAAACAAGATTGATGGACCGTTAGCTAGACTCACCAAGAAACAAAGAGAGAGAACCCAAATACACAAAATCAGAAATGAAAGAGGAGAAATAACTGACACCACAGAAATACAAAGGATTGTGAACGAATATTATGAACAATTATACAGCAACAAATTCGACAATCTAAGTGAAATGGACAAATTTCTAGAAACACATAGTCTCCCAAAACTGAACCGGGAATAGATAGAAAACAGACCAATAACAACAGAAGAAATTGAAGATGTATCAAGACTCTCCCAGCAAACAAAAGCCCAGGCCCAGACGGCTTCACCGGGGAATTTTACCGAGTATTCAAAGAAGAACTAATACCCATTCCCCTCAAACTATTTCCAAAAATTCAAGAAGAAGGAAGACTTCAAAACTCTTTTTATGAGGCCAGCATAATTCTAATTCCAAAACCAGAAAAAGACACTACAGAGAAAGAAAACTACAGGCCAATATCCCTGATGAACATAGATGCCAAAATCCTAAACAAAATACTAGCAAACTGAATCCAGCAATACATCAAGAAAATTATTTACCATGACCAAGTGGGATCCATCCCAGAAATGCAAGGCTGGTACAATGTTCGCAAATCAATAAATGTGATACAACACATAAGCAAAATGAAAGATAGACACTGAAAAAGCATTTGACAAAATCCAACACCCATTTCTGATAAAAATGTTCACCAATCTGGCAATACAGGGATCATATCTCGACATAATAAAGGCCATATATGAAAGACCTACAGCCAACATCATACTCAATGGGCAAAAACTAAAAGCATTTCCCTTAAAAATAGGAACAAGACAAGGATCCCCACTTTCGCCACTCTTATTTAACATAGTACTGGAAGTCTTAGCCACAGCAATCAGACAGGGAGAAAAAATAAAAGGGATCCAAATTTGAAAGGAGGAAGTGAAACTGTCATTATTTGCAGGTGACATGATACTATACGTAGGAAAACCCAAAGACTCCATCAAAAATTTGCTAGACTTAATAAATTAATTTGGCAAAGCAGCAAAATACAAAATTAACAAGAAATTGATGACATTCTTATATACCAATAATGAAGTCACAGAAAGAGAAACTAAAAAAACAATCCCATTTACCATCACAGAAAAAAATTAAGATACTTAGGAATAAACTTAACCAAAGAAATAAAGGACCTATTCGCAGAAAACTACAGGTCCTTGAAAAAAGAAATAGAGGAAGATATAAAAAAGTGGAAGCACATACCTTGTTCATGGATTGGAAGAATTAACATCATTAAAATGTCCATACTACCTAAAGAAATCTATAGATTTAATGCAATCCCCATCAAAATACCAACAACATAGTTCACAGAACTAGAAGAAATACTTCAAAAGTTCATATGGAATAAAAAAAGACCCTGAATAGCCACAGCAATCTTGAAAAAGAAGAACAAAGTTGGAGGGATCACATTACCAGATTTCAGTTTATAATACAAAGCCACTGTAATCAAAACAGCCTGGTATTGGCACAAGAACAGGCATATATACCAGTGGAACAGAACAGAGAACCCAAAAATGGACCCAAGGCAATATGCTCAATTAATATTTAACAAAGGTGGCAAGAGCATACAGTGGAATAAAGACAGCCTCTTTAATAAATGGTATTGGGAAAATTGGACGGCTATATGCTAAAAAATGAAACTAGACCATCAACTTACACCATATACAAGAATAAACTCAAAATGGGTAAAACACCTAAATGTGACTCATGAATCCATAAAAATCCTAGAATAAAATGTAGGCAACAAAATTTCACACATTATACGTAGCAGAATTTTCACTGATATATCACCTAAGGCAACAGAAACAAAGGAGAAAATGAATACATGGGACTACATCAAACTCAAAAGCTTCTGTACAGCAAAAGATACGATCATCAAAATGGAAAGACAACCCACTGTGTGGGAGAGCATCATTGCCAATGATACTTCAGATTAGGGGTTAATTTCCAAAATATATAGAATACTCACACAACTCAACAAATGGAAGACAAAGAACCCAATAAAAAATGAGCAGAGGAACTAATAGACATCTCTCCAAACAGGACATACAAATGGCTAAGCGACATATGAAGAAATGCTCAACATCACTAATCATCAGAGAGATGCAAATTAAAACAACAATGAGGTATCACCTCACACCTGTCAGAATGGCCGCCATCAACAAATCATCAAACACAAAGTTTTGGCGAGGGTGTGGAGAAAAGGGTACTCTGGTACAGTGCCACACATTTTTAAAAAGGACATTTCTTGGTCTTTGTGGGAACAAATCCATCCCAGCAATTGGCACAAGTCCTCCAAGTCTCAGGCTGACTCAACAAGGCCATAGAGCCGTAGGGCTCAGTGAAGGTTCTGGAACCACCTGCCCAGCTCTGCCACTTACTGGCTATGAGAGCCTGGGCTAGTTCCTTAGTTTCTCTGCGTCTCAGTCCCCTCATCTATAAAATGGGAGAACGGGAGAAGCAGTTTAATAAGCTATCCTGAACATGAGATGAGCTGCTACTTAGGAAGTGCTCACCACGCGTGTGGCACAAGGGGCTCCTCGTCAGTGAGGCCGGACGTGCCCCAAAGGGCAGCCTGATGCATTTCCCTGGGGATTCCTTTCTGTTTCTAAACAAAACTGTACCAGAACATTGTGTGTTGACTCCAAAAGAGCATACATTTATTAATATGCAAGTTAATATTGTATTCACATTTAAATTCACATTATATATACTTACTATACTTACTATACCAGTTAATATACTAAATGAGTACCTGGTACATAGTAATAACTGTAGGAGTTCCTTAAATACGATAAATTTTAAATGGCTTTGCAGGACGGGGTCTAGTTCGCTGCGTCCCTGAGAACTGAGACTTTTCTCCGTGAGATGTGGCAGGTGTGTGGGTGTTCCATGAGCATTCTGAGTGGGGACCCTAAGAAATCTCCTAATCATGGCCACCTGAGTGTGTATGAAGTGTCTTAAAAATGTTATTGCTCCTTTTTCAGGAAAGAGGTTTCCCTAGAAGATCAAGGATTGTTCTAATTGGGAGAATTTCAGCCCAAAGAAAGAAAGAAAAAAGAAAGAAGAGAAAAGGCTCTGAGAGGGAGAGAAAGGAGGAGTTTGAGAGTAAAAACACCAGCACCAGGGGCTCTGGGAGCCAGTGATCTTCGCAAAGAGCGGAGACATCCCTGACCATCTTCCCAGTCTGTTAAGAGCCAGGCATGATTCATAACTCCAAACATTTCTTTCGAAAGAACAGTTTTGAAAATGCACCAGGCTCCTCTCTTTGGACGAGCAGTCTGAGTTTAAGGAAATACGCTCTAAATTCCAGTTTTAAATCTTCCTCTGAGTTCTCGTTCAGAGTATGACATTTTCTGGCAGTTATGGACTTTGCTGGTTTCTATGCTTCCAAAATTATACAGTTAATTTATAACAATGATTTAAAAATGACCTCAAGGGTGTCTGTTCTCATAGACTCTTTGTTTTTCTTCAACATTAGGAAACTGCAAAAACAGTTCTTTCAAATCCTTGGCTCACACCGCTGTGCACAGACATCTGAGGAAAGCATGAAGGACTCTGGTGGCGTGAGTCCACTTTGCAGATGGGAGTCACCAAAGCAGAAGAGAGTAGAGTTAGTTACCAGCCTGGTAAAGGAACTTATGGCACCTAAATAGGGACATGCCAACCTTCACTGAGCCATGGTGCCTGGCACCTACCATGGCATTTTCTTCTGTTACGCCACACTCCAATATGTGTTCTGTGAGGCTATAGCACTGCGCAGAGAAGGGTAATCTAAAGCATGCTATTTTGGAGCAGCAAATTCCTACAAAGTCATTGATACTTCCAAAACTTTTGGCCATTGATTGAGATAATCTACCATTCTCCCTATTCTCTAGAAAAAACGACACTCTTTTTGTGTTCTCATGAGAGGCTCAGTCTGGAATGGCTTGGCAAGCGGTCTTGCTGCCTCTCATTAGCACTAGACAGAACGAGTGTCTCTGAGCATCACAGCGACAGAGAAGGTCCGTGAAGCCAACGGGAAGTGTCCGGGTTGGTCTGAAGTATGGTCGGTTCCATCAGGCCAGGGCTCTAGGTTGGACTGATAACCTGTGAGCTCACTGGGCTCCGCCAAAGCACAGAGGGAACTGTCTTCCTCTTCCCAACTCCCTCCCATGATGTCCAAGTCATTTGGGGTCAAGTCAACATTCCACTCCTCCTACGCTGTGTGACTTCTGCAAGTAACTTAACTTTTTTTGAGCCAGATCCTTCTGCATCTAGATCACTATCTCCCTATATAGTTTTTGCGAAGTGTAAACAAACTCAGAGAAACGGTCATTTCCTTGGTAGCCCTCCCTCCCAACTCCTACCTTCCTCCTAGAAGAAGATTATTTTCTGGTTCCCTCTGCAGTGGAAGCACCTTGAGAGGAGGCCTTACCCTTTTCCTGAGGTTCTTCCCGTCATGCCACGTGTAGGAGGAGCCGCTGGAGTACTCGCTGCAGGTGCTCGACAGGGACAGTTCACTGCTGCTGCAGCTGCTGCGAGGGCAGAGATGACCAGGGACGACGACCCCCAAGCCAGGGCATTTCAAAGCAGGGGCTCCCGATTTTGCACTCAGCTGGCATTCCTGAGAAAGTAGGAGAGCTCTGAGCTAGGGCTTCGCTTAGGGACAGCAAATACCAGCTCAACCTCAGAGTGAGGCAGAAGTGAACAGAGCAAATGAGCCCCTCAGAGCTACATTTCTCTTTCAAAAAGTAAATAATGATAATACTTTACCGCGTAGGGTTACTGCAGGGACCAGATGGGGTTCTAGGCGGGAGGCATACTATCTGGACTAAGCAGGCACCTGATTATTGAGAGCTACGGTCCCCACTGGGTAGAATGTCACAACGGTAGTTTCCCATTTTACCCAGTCATACTTCTCAAAGAATCCGATCAATATCAAAACATGACTCTAATGCTACAAAAGGAAGAAAACAGAGTTGCATCTTGGTCTGGAGTTCAAGAGCATGAATACTAGGCTGGGAGCACAGCCCCCTGGACACACACCATCACTAGCTGTGAGGGCTTGAGCAAGGAACACACTTGACTCCATGGACCTTCATGTCTTCCCTGGCAGAGGGGGCAGTTTGACCAGGTTACCCCATGGCTCCTTCTGGCTCTGGGGCATCTTTCTAAGTCAGGGATCCAATGCCAGAGCCTCTCTGAGCCACCTTCCAGGAAGTCCCGTACGGTGCACACCGACCTCAGGACCCACGAGGTTCTGTTGTAAAGGTGACGGGACTCTTCATATCGGGTGGCTGTCCAAGTGGTAAATACTGTCTTATCAAATAGATCTGGTTCCCATGCAGAAGGTCTAGGGGGTTCTAGTTCTAGTGGGTCTGCAAAAGGCATGGGTGACAAAGCAGCAAACATCCCAGCACTTCTTGACAGCCACTTTATAGGCTCCTAAAGTGACAGATGAAGCAACACACCGGACAGGCTACATTAATTTAGCATCCCGACCACAGGAATGGAACCCCTCCATTAGCCGGATTCCGGCCTCCTCTCTATGTAAAGCCTTGTCTCAGGAGCTCTTTGATGGGGAACCATCTGGTTCAGTGTCACTTGCAGAATGGCAAAGCCTCTTACACATGCAATTTATTAAGCCTGCATGGGTGCCTTTAGTACCTGAGTACTTGTCAGTGTTCTCCAAATGCAAGTCCAGACTAAACACCAAGTCGGGGAATAAAGATAATGCTGTTCCGGGAGTTACTTGTGGGAACCATGAAACCCCTACCCAAGTATAGAGGGTGTGTTTAATTGCTGCCTAATCAATATCCATAATGCTTAATAATGTTAGATTTTCAATGTTAAGCCTGCCTTGCTATCAATATTTCATTTTTGCTGCATGACAATCTTTTTATTATTGTTTTTTTCTTTACTGATTTTAGAGAGAGGAAGGGAGAGAGATACAGAAACATCAATGAGAGAGAATATCGACTGGCCGCCTCCTGCATGCCCCCCCTGGGGATTTGGCCCACAACCTGGGTGTGTGCCCTGACTGGGAATCGAATCAGCGACCCCTTGGAGCACGGGTCAATGCGCAACCACTGAGCCACACCAGCCGGGCTGTGTGACAATATTTTTAAGTGATCTTAAAATGTGAAAAAAAAAAATTTACTACTCTGTGTTTCCCCCTAGAATTTGACTCTAAATATCAGTTAAAGGAAAAACCTGTCTTAAAATACAGCTTTTGATAATATCTAGTGACTTATGATCTTGTACTGCTGGATGTAACTTAAGAGGAGTTCCTATTTGTGTCTTGACAGATACGTCCAACCAGCAGTTCCTGTTGCACAGACACACCTGGCGGCCAGGCCTCGGGCACCGCGGACACGTGGGCCGCTCTGAACCACCTCTCAGAACAGCACATTACTCTCCACTTCTGTGTGCTTGCTGTTTCCTCCACTCTTTTCTCTCCGATGTGGCTGTCTGAGTAAGCAGAGTGGTGGTTTTACTTGCTCTAACAGATACGTCTGCCACCCGGGGAGAGACTGTGTCTGTCCTGCAAGGCCAGCCAGATGGAAACTTTCCAATGGCCCTTTTCATACTTTGCATGGCTTGCAGCTGAAGTTTATAGTCTACCTTCTCCCAAGATACTGAATCTTATTTGTGACTTCCCTGTCTTTCCCAACTATCCCTTCCCACTACATCTATCGAAATTATACCTGTCATTACAACTTAACTCCGTTCCTGCGCCTCTTTCCACAAGCAAGCATCCTTGCCCAGTTGCCCTGTGGGATAGGTACTGGTTTAAGGTGACAGAAGATAAGCTGGAGGAGGAAGAACCTGCTGCCTCTCTCTTGACCTTGAACTTGAGATCCCCAGATGTGATAGAAGATACTTCAGGGAGGTGGCAGAGGCTCAGCAATGTCATGGAGGCAGGTGGGGTTGGGGCTGGTTAAGCAGAGAGGTGTCCTCTAAGCCAGGGTTTTCATGTTTGAATGTGGACTCGAATCACCCATCATCTTGTTCAATGCAGATTCTAATTCAGTAATTCTGAGGTGGGATCTGATATGTAGTATTTTTAACTAGTTTCCTGCTGGTCCAGGACCTGTGTCTTGTGTAGAAAGCCTCTAGGAGAAGCTCTGAGGAGGATCTACCTCTTCTGTGGATTTTGTGGTAGCAGGTTGTATCATCTCACAGTCTGACCTGGGCTGAGCTGAGCAGGACCAAGGGCATGGCCTGAGTCCACCCATGGGCCAGTGGAATGGAGGGTTTGTGTGCATGTGCGGGTGCGGGTGCGGGTGCGTGTGTGATTACAGAGTAATTCCTTGCAAAGAAGACGAAGGGGCTAGTCCTCCTACGGGAAAATTCACCCACCATTCTTCCACCTTAGAAATCAATGTTTGAATTTAATAAGGGGCCCAGAATCTCTGACAACCCAGCTGCAAAGTGAGCTCTTTTTCCTGTAGTTTCTTTCTTCATCAGCACATGATTATCATATAGGATTATCTACTCTACTGAGTCACTGTTCTGTGATTGAGCACTTGAACTCCGAGGCCATTTATTTTGTTTAAATCCTGGCTATTCCACTTGCTAACTTTGATCTTGGCAAAATTACTTAACTCACGCATGACTCAGTTTCTTTCTTTGTAAACTGAGATAATGAAAACAACTACCACATAAAAGTATTATTAATTTTTAACAGCCCCAACTATATGGCAATGCTTAGTAAATTATAGGTGTTCCAATTATTACAAAACATGTTTTTATATACATGTGTTTGGCCCTTTAACTAAATCATAAGTTGACAGCCTCCCCAAGGGACCCTGTATGATAGTTCTTGATAGGCACTGCTGTCTGACACCTTTGCAAGCAGGAACCGTGATGAGCAATAGCCAACAGTGGGCACATTGTTTCCAGGGATCACCAAAGTGAGCTGCCGGAGAGACACGCTATCGGGGACCGTTCTCAGTTATCACTCTCCATCTCTGTCATGTTTCCGTGTGGCTGTGGCGTGGTGCCACATACTAATGAGAAAGGAAGAGGGCCAAAGCAGCAGAGAGTTTGTTGTTGCCAACACTGTCAGCGGGCATGCTAAGTACACTTCACACGTTATCTCATTCATTCCTCACCACAGCCCTCAGAAATAAAAAAGCAACATAACTGTGCTCATTGTCAGATGGGGAAACTGAGGCATCGAGGTGTCAGTGTCTAAGGTCACCCAGCCAATATGATTCTGACGTGAGACCCAGGTCCTGGCCACTAATCTACTGTAAGGTCCTTAACAGCAGCAGAACTCCTGGACATATACAGACCACCAACAATCCTACTGAGAAGAGTTACAATTAGTAACAGATAATCATTATTATTAAAATCCCTTTTTTCCCCCTAAAAAGTATATATTGGCTTCCACTGCAACATGATCTTATTTTGATTTACCTGGCAAAATACACCCTGTTTGCACTATTCAAAGTGTATTTTAGATTGCCATCTTGAATAACTTGTATGCCTTACCATCCTTAGTGTGAAAAATGCAATACAAAATCCATAATTTTAGTTAAAAAGAGAGAGAATGAATTAAAAGCTGTGCACTTAAAATATTCTGACCTAAAGGCCATATTATAGATCGGATGCCATTAAGGTATTCATAAATTTTTAAAGTGATGGAATTCCACTAAAATTTCATTCCAAGCTAACTTGAGAATATTTACCTTTGATATAGAATATCCTATCTACACTCATAAAATTATACAGTAAAATTAAAAGCCAGTTAGTCACAATGTTCATCTGTCATTGTTTTAAGCCCAACATTTTCCATTATATATTTATATGGCTCTGGTGATTTTCAAATTCCTTTTTTTATGTCAATGATAGTTAAAAGCCATGCTGGTTAAAGTTTTGCCAAATAAGCACAAAGCTAACCCTAGCTAAAGAAAAAACTGTACAGCCCATGAATTTTTAAAAGTTCATACATAATATATCATGAAAGTAGGAAGACTGATATGGAACCTGGGCTTTAATAAAAAGCTCCTTGACCATTTCTCAGAGACTTTGAGGTGTAATCAATACCCCAAAAAGGTATCCTGGGGACAAAGCCAAGATTTATGATATTTTTGCCAAGAGTGACACTTTCTGCTCACTCTGTCAGCGCGGGGGACATGATACTGACTTTCAGAGAACACAAGAAAGGGAAGCATTTTTATCTGCCTGACAATGTTCAAGGACGCACACAGAGGTTCACTTCTGACATCATAATGGATGGAGGAGGAATAACAACCCAACAAATGTTCTAAAGGCAACAGAAACTCACGTGCATCTCAACATCATTCTGTGTCTGGGTCAGACTTCGGCTTCGTTCCACCTCTGAATGCAAATCTCCGGATGAAAGATCTAAGATGCGTGAGTGAAGTTTCTAGGTAAAAACAAGCGGAAACATGGAATCACGACTATTTAAATGTTCGTTCCAAAACCGTGCCTTGGACAGGCAAATCTCAAAGGAGATGACATTTCTAGACTGGTTAATACATATCCTAACTCAAAAATATTTATTCTAGTTTATTGGTGTTCTATATACGTGTGTGCAAATTACAGCTTATAAACAATAATCACACTTTCACAGTCTGTCAATCTGTGATGGAAAATAAGCTTTAGGGAAAATAAGTAGTAGCTGGAAAATAAGTAGTGAGAAAACTGTGAATACCCCAATACGCAGTGTGTAATGTTCACACTTACTGGCTAGTGTGAAAATTAACTTTTGATATTCACATGAAAAGACAATCCCCACACCAACCTTATTATGTTGAACAGTGGTTAAAATATGAGCAAATAATTATAAAAGTGACCTTATTTCTAAACAGCATGGATCTTGTGAAATCTTCCCTTGGACACATTTTATCTCAAAGTCATTAATGTCATCTGTTAGGAACAATTAATGTGATTAGAAAATAATTGCACTGGGGATCTGGGGACTTAGATTTGGGGCATTAATATTAATATTTGAAGATATACTCAATTCTTTATTTCAGCTTTGCTTGGGAGAACTGCTAAACCAGGGACATTTCACTATATTAATCTTTACACTAATTACTGAGGCTTTTCCGTAGACATTAAATGTGATCTGTTTAATTGCAAATACAATAAAACTTGTGATTTATGTCTAATGTTTCTGCTAGGCTGCTGACCTTTCAGAAGTGGTACTTGTAGCCTGGCTTCTCTTGGTGACGACTTTTGTGACTTCAGACAGTAAGCAAACAGAATTGAGTGACTCAAGAACAGGGCTAAGCGTGCCTCCCACACCTCTGAAAAGTTTTTCTCTCCTGTTTCCTCCTCGGAAAGGCCTTACTGCACACTGCCGTTGATCCGGGAAATTCCAGAGATTCCCTGACACTAATTACTATTCAGAGCATCTCGGAGTGCAGGGGTTGCCACACGGTCACTTGGTCCTGGCAGATCCGCTGTGTTGTCAGCACGGACAATAAACTCTGCTAAAATGAGGCACCCAAGCTCTGTTCTCGTGGACCCCTCCGGTGAACTTGTGTGGGAGCCTCTGCACCTCGCTGTCGGAGGGAGGGCGGGACTGCTCCCTCTGCCCAGTGGAGGCACGTTCTCTGCTGGGACCAGCTCTCCCCAGGGCAGGTCATTACCACTTGCTTCAGACCTATGCTCTCGCTTCTTTCAGTCCATGTTTGCGGAATTTATTTCACCAAAATGGCATGAGTCCTAAGCTAGTTGCCTGTTATTCTGAAAAATCTGATTTCTCCAACAAAGCTAAGACATTAATAGGTAACTAGAACCAGGATGTTGTTTCTGCTCAATTTTTATAATCCTTGCCTCAAGCTCCCTGGGGGCATAGTCTGTTTAATCCATAGGACCTGAGACAATGCGTATGCTTATAATGAAAAAAGATACCCTTATATTTTTCCCACCAACATATAAGTTTTAAAGATTGGGAAAGTTCCAAAAGAATTATAATGTTCTGAAACTTCAAAAAATACATTTATCAATAGGCAAACAGTCCAAGAAGTTATGGGAAATGACATTCGACAAAAAAATAATGAATCTGAGTGGTATACCATGTGATTTGGGGGAAGAGTCTTTACAGATTAGTTACCTCACTTCTCATTCAGTTCATGGTTACACTTCACTCTCTCTTATCAGATATGTGATGTCATCCTTTGCTCTCTGCATGAATATGTGTATGTATAGACCCATCCTCCTAAATGCTCTTACATTTCAGTGGTTTTTATCCAGATGGTCAGTTCTCTCCATTGATATAGGTTAAGGTCATGTTGGAAAGGGGGCAGATCTCAGGGCCGGGGCTGGGAGACCTGAATTCCAGCCCCGTCTAAGGCACAGATTATACCAGATCTTGGGAATGTGACTACACATCTCTGTCTCAGATTCCTCACCTGTAAGGGAGGGATAGACGTGGCTACTGAACCCACCACACAGGTAGGCAGAGGTATTGTCATAGACAGAAAGGGTATAAATAAGCCAGCATGCTGAAATTCACACAGCCTTGCACCAACTGACTGTCATAACTCAGAGTTGGTGGTAGATAATTTCTTAAAGGCTTAGGCACAAATGAATCATTTGTTGTTATAGTTTCCCTTTATGTAAGGCAGATAAAAACTGACTTGGAAAATAAATCTACTCCTGTGTTAAGGCTGTAGGCAAAAAAATGGTAGGTAAATATTGTTCTTTCACATAACTTCCCTTAAATAGCCAAAAAAAAACTCACAAGCCCATAGATGTTACATTGCTTATAATAACTACTGTAATGAAGGGCTTACATGTTCAAACCTATATATGTATATATAATATTATAATAAACATATACTCAAGGACAGAGAGAGAGAACCAGAGAGGCCAAGAGCAAGAGAGCAAGAACATCACTTTTGAAATTTGCAGTGTGATGTCACCTGGGCCTCATTTGGATCTCAGGGAAAGGTAGTTAGGATGTATATATGGGAAATACAATTAAAGCAATATCTTTTTGGGTATGTCTCCTCAGGCAAGGGAAACAAAAGCAAAAACAAACAAATGAAGCTATATTAAAGTGAAAATCTCCTGCATGGCAAAGGAAGCCATCAACAAAAAAAATACACGACTCACTGAATGGGAGAAGATATTTGCAAATGATACATCTGATAAGGGATATCCAAAATATGCAAGGAATTCATACAACTCAACATAAAAATCACACAATTTGATCAAAAATTGGGCAAATGACCTGAATATACATTTCTCCAAAGACACATGGTTGGCTGACAAACATAAAAAATGCTAAACGTTTCTAATAGTCAGGGAAGTACAAGTCAAAACCACAATGAAGTATCACCTCACACCTATCAGAATGGCTATCATCAAAAAGTAAATAAACAACAAGTGTTGGAGAAGATTTAGAGAAAAAGGAACCATTGTGCACCGTTAGTGGGATTACAAATTGGTGCAACCACTGTGGAAACCAGTGTGAAGGTTCCTCAAAAAATAAAAAATGGAACTGGCTTATGACCCTGACATTCCGTTTCCGATTATTTATTTAAAAAGAAATATGCACCCTTATGTTTACTGTGGCATTATTTACAATAGCAAGATATGAAAGCAATCTAGGTGTTCATCGATAAATAAATTGATAAGGAAGATGTGGTATACAGACAATGAAATATTTGTCATAAAAAAAAATGAAATCTTGCCAATTGTGACAACATGGATGGACCTACAGGGTACAATGCTAAGTGAAATAAGTCAGATGGGGAAAGAACAATACTATAAGATTTTCACTTATATGTGGAACCAAAAAACAAAATAAAAAAAAGATTGGACAGAAACAGACCCACACATACAGAGAACAAATGATTGCCAGAGAGAGGGGGTGGGGAATGAGTGAAAAAGATGAAAAGGACTATGAGGTACACATGTCTAGTTGGAAAATAAGTAAGCCACAGGGATGGAGTGTACAGCACAGGGAATATATTCAATAATATTGTAATCACTTTGTATGGCGACAGATGGTTACTAGACTTACTGTGGTGATCGCATCATAAGGAATATAACTGTTGAGTCACTATGTTGTACACCTGGAACTATATAATATTGTATGCCAACTATACCGGAATATAATTTTTTTAAGTTATTATCAGAAAGTATAACTGACAGGAGAATATAATGACCTCACCAGAAAAAAAAAAAAAAAAAGCCCACCTGCTAAGAGGACAAATTCTGCACCACACACCTATCTACAGTTCATGTTCACTGTTAGTTTCTACCTGGATACAATCTCTCACCTGAAGTACTCCAAACTTGAAACCTTTAACCTGAAAATCTGGATAAATCCTGGGCTTAGAAATGATTTTTAAAAATGTTTTAGACACGAGAGGTAGCAAGATTATTCAGCATGGGTTAGAAACTGACCTCACATCACCTCTAATATTATCTCAGTAACTAAGATTCCACTTTGTCTTAGAAATAGAGACTCCTAACGACATAGTTCCAAACCAGAGGTCAGTGAGATCTTTTAGCTCAAATGCTTCCTTTGGCGATGAAAGTCTATGCCTTCTTTCCTGCAGACAGGTTCCATTGTTTCCTGAATGGGGCCCCTCACTTCTGAGTGATGCTTTTGTCTTTCTTTCCATGCCACACTCTCCCTGCTCCTGCCAACCAGTCTAAAGTCTGCCCATTCTCAGGACCCCGCTTGTAAGGTTGTCCGTCATCCGCAGCCCGCAGTGGGTCCCTCACCCAGCTGCATTACGTCACTGCCCCTTCTGGGCCCTTTGCTCTAAGTGCACGATTGCTGAATGGCTCCTTTGCATAGGGTCTATTTTCCCAACAGGGCGATCAGTGCCATGAAAATGCGGGCCAAACCCTATATTTCTGCTTTGTCCCTGTGACAGGGACTACTGGCCAGTGGTCATGGAACGTATCCCCTCTTCTTCTGGGCAGTCGGCTTGACTGAATCTCCCAGCCTCCTTTGCAGTTAGGAGTGGCCATGTGACGTGATGAGTGCTAACCAATGGAGTGTGTGCAAAAGCGATGTTGGTCCTGGAGGTGCACACCTCCGCTTGCGGTGCCCGGGCTGTCCCCTCCAGCAGCGCCTGACGCAGCCAGCTCAGCACAGCCACCTCGGGAGCCAGGCTGAGCCATGGGGCCACCAGGAGGAAGGCGTTTATGTTTCTGAATTGCGAACTGGAAGAGAGTGACCTGGGGGCCAGAGATACCTTTTGGACTTTCCGTGAGGAAGAAATAAACTTACACTGCGTGTGAGTCATTATTCATTCGGGGGTTTGTTTGCGATGGTGGCTAGTATTAGCCTGGCTGATACAGCCCTCCTCTGAGGGTCGCACTTCTAAGTGAATAGGGTAGCAATTCAGTCAATACACACAACAGGTTTCCCCTGTAAGTACAGTGCACCTG